ATATGAGTACCTGTGTGTATGTCTATTTGTATACATGGTTATATGAGCCGTTCCCAAAGCAAATCAGAAGAAATATCCAGCAGAAATCTAGATATAGACCAATGAATGAGCTCAGACACAGATGTGCAGACACGTACCTGATATGCGTTTGTGTGTGCCTTAGTGCATGTATTTTGGAGTTATAACATATGTGTGCGTATGCGTGTTCAACCTGTATATATATATATATATATTATCGATAGATATTTACATATATATATATGTGTGTGTGTGTGTGTGTGTATTTATATATATATATGCCTGTACACAACAACGAGTACTGTACGAATAGTGTACACTAATAGATTGCGTACTATGTGATCACACATTAAACTGAATAAAGCACTCCAGTGGATCAAAGCACCTTCCACTACCCTCATCGTCTCGTACGTGTGTGTGTCCATATCCACTATATACATCGAATAAAACCATTGCTACTAAGAAGAAGACTTTAATATCACAGACACCTGTACGTAAACATGTATTCACGTCTTTTAAATCATCGATCTCAGTCAATTCGAAGTACCAGAGCAGCAATTCTTAGACGACCGTTTACCACTGCGAACCAACGATGTGATGTGTGTGCCCATACTAGTACATGGCCATGTGGGTTGCCGAGGCTGCATCATCAAGGTATGTGAATGGGGAGATATGGACAGCTTGGAGTCATACGTGTTCGTTGATATATATATGTGTGTGTGTGTGTGTTGTTGTGTGTGTGTGTGTGTGTGTGTTGTTGTGTGTGTGTGTGTGTGTGTGTGTGATATATGTGTGTATAAATATATATATATATATATATATATATAGAAGTACATGTCAGTTACTTTCTTATATGTTTGGCAGTGCACTACTGTTATTGAATATAGGTCTTGGCACATATTATTGTTTGTTTGTCCTTCCTCTACTTGCCCTACATTATGGTACAATTTATATTCCGTAACCGTGAATGACATTCTCCTCAGTTTATGAGCGCTCAATTTTTTTCGGCGTGAAATTGGTCCCACCGAACTTTCCTTAGTGCATCACTCCCTGATTCTAAATATACTTTCTACTATCCCAAAAACCCGAATACAACCCAAAAACCCAAACTCATACGCATCCTATTTTATCCTGCAACACCGAATCAAATAGTCGTGTAATGCCTTGGGTGCTGGCTTGCTAGTAGGGACGGCTCTCGCCGTTATCATCCCGGAGGGCTTCCATTCCCTGTTTGCAGGTAACTCTACCCTATACCCAGTCTTCTTATGAATGTACGGGTCTCCTTCATGTGAATGCAAAAAAAACACCTATACACACCTGCCCACTCTTCTTGTGAATGTAATACACACCTGCCCACTTTTCTTGTCAATGTAATACACACTTGCCCACTCTTCTTGTGAATGTAATACACACCTGCCCACTCTTCTAGTGAATGTACGAGTCATCTCCATTCCCTACTATCATGTGCATGCTAACAACCCATATACACACCTGCCCACTCTTCTAGTGAATACTAACAACCCCTATACACACCTGCCTACTCTTCTAGTGGATGTACGAGTCATCTCTATTCCCTACTATCATGTGCATGCTAACAACCCCTATACACACCTGCCCACTCTTCTAGTGGATGTACGAGCCATCTCCATTCCCTACTATCATGTGCTTGCTAACAACCCCTACATACACCTGCCCACTCTTCTAGTGAATGTACGAGTCATCTCCATTCTCTACTATCATGTGCATGCTAACAACCCCTACATACACCTGCTAACTCTTCTAGTGAATGTAATACACACCTGCTTACTCTTCTAGTGAATGTGCGAGTCATCTCTATTCCCTACCTGCAATCACATGTCTGTGATGTCTTCAGTATCGGAGGTGGGCCCTGGTCCGTTTAACCTGCATGTGTCGTCCTCACTAGTATATACATTTATATTAATGCGTTAACTTGCCTGGCAAAAGGGTTTTATATGCATTTATATTAATGCGTTGACTTGTCTGGCAAAAGGGTTTTTTATGCATTTATATCAATGCGTTAACTTGCCTGGCAGCCGTTATACCTACGCGTGGCGGCAAAGTCTCTATGAACCGGGGTTAGGTGGTGCAGATTAATTGTGCTACCGTATCGATAGACCCTTCACATCCGATTCCATGCCATTCAAAGTTGCGTGCTGCTACGAATCGGTGTCTAGTTTATACGGGAAGATATGGTGCACTGTACTAGCTGACTATCAAACATGTTCTTTCTCACTCATGTTCAAAGTACATACGCCATATACTGGTCTGTGTATGCATCTGGTATCATACAACTGTCTAAGCCCATGCGTTAGTGTGTGTGTACTGTAGATCAACCATGCTATTTCTCACTCATGTTCTAAGTACCTACGCCATATAGTGGTCTGTGTATGCATCTGGTATCATACAACTGTCTAAGCCCATGTGATAGCGTGTGTGTACTGTAAATCGATCATGTTCTTTCTCACTCATGTTCTAAGTACCTACGCCATATACTGGTCTGTGTATGCATCTGATATTACACAACTGCCTAGGCCCATGCGTTAGTGTGTGTGTACTGTATACTGTGTTCATCGCTTCGTATCTCTAACACGTGTGCATTATTCGTACTACACCTCATAGCCGACGCAGAGGCTGCTGCCGCACAGGCGGCCCTGGCCACCGCCCACGCCTCAGGCAACGCTACCGAGACAACGCATAACCATGCAGACACACACGAACACAGCGGAGGCCACGGGGTATGTTGATATATCCCATCCACGGGGGATAGGGATATATTTTATAGATATTAAGCGTATTGTGCAGCTAGGGTTTAGGGTGTGTGTGTGTGCAATACGGCTGGAGACAACCGCACGCGCCTCCGGGAATGAAGAATGCGAGAGAGTGAACGATCAAGGAGATGCACTCGGTGACGGTCACGGGCTGAGGGTATGCTACGACACACAGTGCGTAAAGGATAGATATATACGAGGAGAATGTACGTATATGAAGACTATCTTGAGACCCTTAGAGGGTATGATACGATACACAGTGCGTAAAGGATAAGTATAGACGAGGAAAATGTACGTATACGAAGACTATCTTGAGAACCTTAGAATGTATGCTACGATACACAGTGCGTAAAGGATAGACATATACGTGGAGAATGTACGCATATGAAGACTATCTTGAGAACCTTAGAATGTATGTATATGAAGAATACCTTTAGAATGTATGTATATGAAGGTTACCTTTAGAATGTATGTATGTGAAGAATACCTTGAAGCTATGTGAATGGTCGCTTTCTCCCGCGCATGGCTGTGTCCTGCCAGTCTAAGTTGTGAATACGGATGCACATCCTTGAACACCATACTATCCGGCATCTGTGTGCGAATCAGGAGCGATCTACTGTGTGATTTAGCCCTATTGTCTGATTTAGCCTTTCATCCTTCCATCCTAGTCTTCCGATCTGCCCGTTCTGTGAAGCATTCTCACCTCTACAGCACAATCAGGGAGATTTCAATATCATAGTCTATATAGTAGGTTTGACATAAAGGGGGATTGTTCTCCTACTACAAACTACAACTATATCTCTTATGCCCCAATATGTTCGGTACTAAGCACTCGCACGGGGCTGATGGTGAGTCTGGTAGTACGCACGGGATGGCTGGGTTCGTGATGGTGGCTGGTTTCCTATTCCAAATGCTTGTCGACAAACTTCTGCTGAAACATGGCGGGCACGCGCACGGGTCATCTACTGGTATGTCACACCCACTTTATAACTAACTTCCCCCATACTATCGCACTGAAGAGACTTATTCACGTGGATTTAAATAATCCCACTAGAGCTCCTTATGTCAAACCCACTTTATAACTAACTCCCCCTGGTACTATCGCACTAAAGAGACTTATTCACGTGGATTTAAATAATCCCATTTGAGTTCCTTGTGTCACACCCACTTTATAACTAACTCCTTCGATACTATCGCATTGTAGAGATTTATTCACGTAAATTTAAATAATCCAATAGATCTCCTTCTCTGAGCAAGCCGTGTGTGTGTGTGTGTGTGTGTGTGGTCATTTGGTGCGTATGCGACCCAATGTTTACGACGAAGGTGCGGATAAACTGGTCAGTAGATGGTCCGGAGTGTAGTAGGGTTTAGGGTTTTATGAATGTGTGTTTGTGTACCCCCGTGTGTGGCTGGATGGGTTCGCACTCTGCACCCACCACAATTTATCCTGCACCCGAAATGTCCTTTTAGGGCCTCAAATTGTCCCAACCCGCGGGACGGCATGTGTGGGAAAGTGCTGTGAGTTGTCTCACACCCACACACTGCACCTGCCCTAGTTTCAGGACAGTTAAATTCGGTACTTTCTCAAACTTGGTGTAACCTACCTTCAAATGTCTGTATGGAGGGTTGAGCTGTATCACCCCCACACACTGCACCTGCCCTAATTTCAGGACAGTCAAGTTCGGTACTTTCTCACACTTGGTGTAAACTACATCCAATACATGTCTGTATGGAGAATGTCTCGGCCTCCCGTATGTACTACGCAGTTGGTGGTGATTGTATTAAGACTATACATTCATTGTATTATGACTATATATTTATTGTATTAGGACTATATATATGTATTAGGACTATATATATATTGTATTAGGACTATATATCTATTGTATTAGGACTATATATCTATTGTATTAGGACGATATATCTATAGTAATAGGACTATATATATTATATTAGGACTATATTGTATGAGGACTATATATCTATTGTATTGGGACTGTATATCTTTGTTGTATTAGGACTATATATCTATTGTATTAGGACTGTATATCTATTGTATTGGATCTATATATCTATTGTTTTAGGACTGTGTACTTGTCATATTAATGTCGTTGCTCGTGCTACGCTTATGTTCTGTCGTCTCGCATCAGTGCACATTATATTATTTTCCATCGCAGTTGCCCGCGGGTTCTAAAGCGTACTATGCCGTTTTAACGAGCACTTTGAGTTGAGTGTCTGGTATTCTTTATGTTCGAATCCGCCATGGTCATTTTGATTGTAAAATTCTCAATGGACTAACGTACAAGAATTGGGTGGAGTAACTCTTATAGTGTACCTGGAATTCTTGTCCCCCGTTGTAGATTAACACTGCCACGGTTCAGTACCGATTGCACAGCTTTGATCCCTAGGATATCAAATCTGATATATGTAAATATGCATGCGTGTATGTGTGTCTGTGTGTGTACGCGCATACATATTTATATTTATATATATATATATATGTATATATATATATATTATATATATATA